CAATGGTATTATTCCACGTGGAAAATAACCATGATGCTCTGATCTCAATGAGAGTTAGTACTTTCATGGAGGCATTGTCGTTAGCGAGGCTTACAAACCCTCCAGCATGCCTATGAAGTGAGTATATTTGCATCATGGTTATTTTCCACGTGGAATAATAGGATTGATATGTTGTATGCGCAAGCCCAATGACTCTCATTCTGTCAGCGAAAGGAGTTGATATCAAAGGATAGGTTCGGCAAACACTTAAATAATACTATTTTAATATTAAATTTTTTTTTTGAATGTTCTATTTATATGTACATATGGTACACTAGCTCAAAATATAGAAGTGTTCAATATATTTTTCACGTGGAATCATAATAAAAATTCCATATGTACGTATAAATAGAACGTTCGTGCAAAATAATTTGATATTAAAATAGTATTATTTAAGTGTTTGCCTAACCTACCATTTAGATGACTCCACATATCTACCGACTGGAAGTCTGGCCCCCAATTAGAAAAAAATGTGTAAAGTATATTGAACACTTCCATATCTGAAGCTGCTAGTTTTCCATATGTATATTTAAATAGAATAATCATGCAAAATAATTTGATATTAAAATAGTATTATTTAAGTATTTGCGTTACCTATCTTTTGATATGGGCTCCCCCCGCTGATAGAATGAGAGTCATTCGACTTACGCATACAACATATCAATCCTGTTATTCCACGTGCAAAATAACCATGATGCTCTGATCTCAATGAGAGTTAGTACTTTTATGGAGGCATTGTCGTTAGCGAGGCTTACAAACCCTCCAGCATGCCTATGAAGTGGGTATATTTCCATCATGGTTATGTTCCACGTGGAATAATAGGATTGATATGTTGTATGCGCAAGCTGAATGATCTCGTTCTATCAGCGGAAGGAGTCTATATTAAAGGATAGGTTTGGCAAACAGTTAAATAATACTACGTTAATATTAAATTATTTTGCACGAATGTTCTATTCATATGTACAGATTGGTTCAAATTCGATGTCCGAATAGGCTAACTCGAGAGTTAGAAGAAAAGTAGCTGACATGTCAGAAATATGAAAGTAGAAAATATCAGAAATAGGTTTTTTTAATTTTCAGTTATAGAACCGTAATTTACAGGAAACTGTAAATTTAATTTCTTCGACGACACTAAAAGAAAAGTTTATTTTTAGTTTTACTCTAAAACAATAAGAAATACACCTGTCAAACCCTATATTTTTGTAATCAGAAAAAAATAACGAATTTATTAAGCGAATAATCAGTGGTTGTTTCCATTTAAAAAAACGAAAATTGTGATATCTCAAAATCTAAAACCGACAAATTTTTTTTGACTACGTCATCAAATTCTCTGTAAAAAGTGTCCATATAATGTCTTAGTTATAATACTCCACCTATAATAATAACCAAGATAATTACATTCGCGGGTTTTACGATATTTTCAATTTTGGCCTCTAGGGGAAAAACAAAAGACGATAGCGCTATGAGGTTTTCGGCGTTAGCAGTTTCTCGAAAAACGAGATGATGACATGTAAGCTATTCTTTTTCTAACTCTTATAGTTTCCGAGTTAGAATTTTGGGACATCGAATTTGAACCACTCTGTACATATGGTACACTAGCTCATGATATAGATGTGTTCAATATATTTTCAACAAGGAATGAGGATTGATATGCGGTATGCACTAATAATAATAATAATAATATTTTATGTACCCTCCGAAATGTGTAATAAAATAAAACAATGGCTTAGATATATTGTAATTTTTATTTTCTCATTGTAAAATGACAAAGAATAAATCTAAAATTCATTTGAATTAATAATATATACGATTGATGTAGCTATACAATATATTATATTTTAAATATAATGATTAATGAACAACCTAGAAAAAGATATTTAAATTTATAATATTAATTTATATATTAATTTATATTTTTATTCAACCTCAATTTCACACAAAAGTACATATATTCTAATTTATTTGATGCATCAATGATAATTTATAATTAAAGTAAATCATCTACAATAATTACATTTTAAAGCTGCATAAAATACACGCGAAACACTTCAAACTCTTTAAAATTTACGATTCACGCAAGCGTTTTCGCGACATTTTACGCGACAAAGACAAACAATATATCATTTCGTCTGCCTTTGATGGAAACGCTCGCCACTCATTGCTTAGATAGGGAGTCAGCGATATAGGAGATAGTCATCGAGATACATACAGGGTGTTCATTTCAAAACTTTCCACCTCAATTTCTGTAAATCCGGAACTTTAAAAAGAAAATCGCTGAAATAGGTAAAGAATAAAACCAAGGGGGACANTTATTTTATTTAATTTTTTTTTTTTTAATAGATGCGTGCGCCAATTCACGCCATCAAATCACTAAAGAAGATACACTAAAAGACATTTCCACATTTAAAGATTGTTATTATTTCCTTCAGTAAAATGTTTATTAGTCCTACTTCATTTTGGTGCGTTTTTAAGATTCTTTCTAAGGAGAATTTTAAATAGTAACGAATGTATCTAACAATAAGTAACACCAATGAACTTTATGTATAAATTGTTAGCTATCGACCCTTAAACATTAAACCCTTGAGCAAAGTGAAAGCATTTTATTCCTCGGATAATGAGAGAGATGAAGAAAACTTTTTCAGATGCTATTTCTTTGATGTCATTTAGATACAGTGTATATATATATATATATATACAGGGTGTATCTGAATGACGTGCTTTAGGAAGGTAGCAGCGAAGTATGGAAACAGAAGTAAACCCTCTTAGAGACTCCCTGAACTTGTGACCGCCAAGACATCGCCGAATCCATTACCACACCAAGATTTTTGACCGTATTAGAAAACAGAATAACGGTGTCGCCAAGCCTCAGTTGAAGGGTAGTTAAGGAATTAAATTGTGCCAACAAGGGGCGAGTACCAACTGCAATGGCTTGCGTTTTACCTGGATTCAGGTTAAGTCCATGATGTCTAGACCAGTCAAGCACGCTAGAGAGACCGTTGTTAAGATGCAACAACGCATCTGGGAGGTTGTTAACAGTTGACGAAATATAAAGTTGAAGGTTATCTGCATACAAATGATAGTTACACGAGATACCATCACTAATACTATTTATGAAAATCGAGAGGAGCAAAGTAACCAGCACACTGCCCTGGGGAACTCCACGTTTGATGTCAACAGGAGAAGAGAGTACACATTAAACGCGGACACGTAAAGACCGATAGGAAAGGTAGGACTGGAACCAAGATACATAAAAAGGGGTAGAACCAATAGCAAGAAGCCTAGTTAACAGGAGGGCATGGTCCACAGAATCAAAGGCCTTACTAAAATCAAGTAACACTAGCAAAGTAACACAACGCTTATCACAAGCAGATCTAATATCATCAGTGATCTTAATCAGTGCTGTAGTAGTACCATGCCCTTCACGAAAACTAGACTGGAACTTGTTAATCAGATTAATCCTCAAGATATTTCTGAATATAGCTTTTAATAACGTAGATAAAATAGAAATGGGTCGAAAGTCACCAACATGGGGCGGAGATTTAATTTTTGGGATAGGAATAACATAGGCCAGATTGACGGAAATATAGATTGTTCAAAAGAACAATTGAAAATATGTGTTAGGGGAGTAATAACTATATCCAGAATGGGTAAGAGGAATCTGAGTCCAATACCATCTGCTCCGACACTAGTAGACTTGGAGTAAGTTAAAGCATCCCGGACCTCAGCATCAGTAACCAAGCTGAATGAAAAGGAAAGCACGTTGGTAGATGCAAGGATTTCATTAATACTATTCTCCCTAGTTATGTTACCAACCACCACAGGAGGATCCGCAAATATGTATATTATCAATGTCAATATCAAACCAGAAACGGGCCCCTGTATAAGTGCAGAGCCCTGAGGCGCGCGCCTCAAGCGCCTGCTGGTTAATAATCCAGCCCTGACTTCAACCACATTTTACAAGAACAGTGTTACAATTCAAATAAGGGTTCGATATTAAGCGCGGCTTTATAAACTCTGTCTAGATAATAGTTTTTTTCATAGCCCATTATATTATGAAATCGTTACAAACAAAGATACTTGGAAAAATTCGCATACATTTTGGTTTTTTTTACATACACGTGAGCAGTAAACTTTCAAATCTAGATAAGCCTGATATATAGCCTGATAACCTAGAAGATCAGAAGCAAAAAATTAGAGAAGAAATTCAATTAATCGGCCCGGATATGATTCAAAATGTTCAAGAAGCATTTGTCTCCCGATTAAGATATTGCCTTGCCGTTAACGGGCAGCAATTTGAACATTTGAATTAATAATGATTATTGTTTTCTATCGTTCATGTTATTTTTGTAAACTTAAAGTTTTAAAAAAATGTTTAATTTTTGATATCTTATTTTCTGTTTGCGTTTTTTTTAATGCGTTTGATGCAACAAGTTATTGCTACTTTTGTGACTCAAGTACAATAGTAATAATAATTAATTTAAATAAATAATTCAATTCGAATTGAATTTTGACACTTGGAAATTTTAAATCAAAACATTTGGTTACTACTTTTTATATCATATGAAAGGGAAATAATGAAACTTTAAATTAATTTTTCTCGAAAATTTTCTTATGTAACCGATATTAATATTTATTGTACATAATTCAGAAAAAAATCTCTTGCAAATTCTAATATAAAAAATGGGTGATTCGTTTAAAAAAAAACTTCGATGACGTCATAACTCGTTTAAAAATGGCGGAAAAAATTTAAAATATACACCAAAAAATTGCAAAAAATTTAAATCTTTAGACCCGTTTCAGCGATTTTTTCATAAATTGTTTATAATAATTTTATCGAATTTATCCATTACTTTTGAAACGTACTGTATAGTATGCGGAGTTTAACTGGAAGCATAATGTAGTGTCATCTACCGACCATCCGTAAAAATATTAAGCTCAAACTTCACATTTGCTGTCAAATGTCAAATAGTTGTCAACCATGTAAGAAATAAAAGGAAACTAAAAATCGTATTATAAAATTTCGTGTGTTTAGTACAAAATTTATTAAAAATTAATCGCATTTTGGTTGTTTTCCGTATGGTATCGTTAAGATGTCACCCGAGCAGACTGCCTGCGAAGGTACGAAAGGTGACCGAGTGATGAAGTCTCACATAACCTATAAATCAGAAATAATTGCAGATTTAAAGGCTTTCGAACGCAGACTAACCGAGGTGATAGCTTGTCTGCAACCGGCCACTTATCGGTGGAGAAGTAAGCTATCTATTTTCAATCCAAACTAGCATAATTTTTTCTTTATTCTAGTACTGTTACTAGTTGTATCCATATGTGTGGCCACCGGTGCCGGGCAATGGATTATGGATCCAATGACTAGAAACGTTCCTTTAACTCATTCACTATCCAATCATCCATTTTTCATTGTATCAACTATATTATTAGGTATTGAAAAGTTTTAAATTAATGTAAAGAATTTATGATTGTTATTTAATTGTGATTATTTTCAGGTATAATTTTTTTAATGGGTGTACACAAACGTGTGATTGCTGCGTCTATAATAACATCTAGAACTCGGGAGGTCTTGTGTGATTTTAATATGTCTTGTGACGACACAGGAAAGTTGATATTGAAACCAAGACCTATGAATGTTACGTGACAATTGTATAATTTTGTATAAAAATTTTAGCGCTTTAGTTGATAGGATTAAATAAACTAGACAAATTTCTTTATTAATATCTTTGAATTATGTACCTATTATATTTTTAAGAATAAACCCGTGTTATATCCGTTATTATTATTAATTTTATTTTTCTATTTTCATGTCTTTAGTTTGAATAGTTGTTAGAATTAAATAAGCTAATAGACAACTTCTTTATCTTTATTTTAAATATCAATAATACTTTTAAAAATAAACCTTTGTTATATTCGTTAGTACTAACTTTTATAATTTCTATATTTTATTTTCAATTGTTTCAAAGTTCAGTTATGTCTCAATTTTAATAACAATGAATAAGATTATGACGAAAAAAGGTGCTTTTTGCTATTTTTGAATCAAACAAAGTTATTTAAACGTTATTGAATGACTTTTTAAGATTATTTTAGCACTAGTCAAATTGGTTGTTCATTGTTTTTCAAATCAGTTAATTAATTAAAAACACTACCAGCCTTTTATACTCTTAAATTTTTGTTTGCCATAAAGTTTTTGATGCAATAAATACCTCCTTTAACATTTTTTATATTAATTGAAATTATCCTTAATTCTTGCAATAAATGTTGATTAATATCATTGCAGAGCTAAGCTATGCATTTATTATTCAGAGAAAATAGGCAATAACGTCTCTAATTTTTTGTTAAAACAATATTTTATTTGCATCTACATCGCCAGAGTATTAAATATAATAAATGACGGAATATGTAATAAGGCGGTTTATCAGTAACTTGTATTCGAAATCTATCTGGAATTATCAGAGATTGTACGTTCACTAGTGAGTAAGTTTTCATAAAAATTATTTCAAAATGGTGAATTTTGTTTGTTTTGCATAAAAACAATAAATCTTTTAATTTGCATTCGACAATTGGAAGACGTGAGTGAGAAAGTGATCACCATTTTTTATAATAGCTGCCTTACAAGTGTAATGACCGATTGTTTGAATTTGCTATCACTGAATTGGTTGTCATTATAAATTAACAATTGCGATCTTTTTTAAATTGCGACCGTTTAAAATCTAACATTTTTATTCCAATTTGTTATTAATTTTTGCCTGTAGCTTATAAAATCATGAAAGTAAGTAGAGTCCATTTCTCTTACATTTTGGCAGGTTTCATTTATGGTGGTTTGCTCAATTTTATAGTTCTTGCCATAGTACCACTGTTTGGGAACAAATATATTTACTATTTCCCTCTATTCTCGAGAGTTAATAAGCACTATCCCACACATTATATTTTGTAATGTTCGTTCTCCATAAACTTGTGATTGATAAGTGTGGGGATGGATAAGTAATACTAATAGCTAGAGAATATTGCAGGTTAATCGCTTTCAATAAAGCAATCAATGAAAACTCGAATTAGCTTAAACGATAACTTGTATTTAATAAATTTATGTGAAAAACAAACACACAATAATTGTTTTAATTAAACATATAACCTTTTTACATATTCTTTAGAAACTTGCCGAAATTCTTTATTTGAGGTGATTAGGAAATTTTCAAAGTTATTTTAAACTGTTTTCATCTACACAACATCCACGGGAAAGGTGTTGAATAGGAAAAACTTGTTTATTAAACTAAAATTAGAACTAACACTAGAAACTTTCGGGTTTTGCCGTGCGTCTTTTAATAAAAGGTTTGACGTTTCGGATGCCATGTTGGAACCTTCTTCAGAAACAGGTTCGAAGTAACGAGATCAAAAATCGATAACTATACAGGTGTATCTGAATGACTGCAACAAACTTCAAGGGGTGATTCTTTAGTAAATTTTAAGGGTACTTTGATATATGAACCATGGGCGACTTCGGCTCCCGTAAGGAGCTACACCCCTCCAAAAATAGCGGAAAATGTTGGTTTAATTTCTTTTTCTCAAAAACCATAAAAGCTAGGAAAATGAAATTTGGGGAATATGTTTAACTCATAATAGGGCACGTTTTGATCCTATTTGTACTTTCAATCTACCCTTCTAAACTACTAAACGTAACCACCCCCGTTAGCCTAGATTTTTTTTATGAAGATGATAAATACTTTGGAAAAATTTCAGTTAGATAGATAAAACTATTCTAAAACTTTTTTGTCTCACTGATGTTCTTTTAAAAATTAATAATTTCTGAGAAAAAAAATAATTAAGCAAACACTAACTGTTAAGCTGTAGGGTTGTTAACGAATTTAAAATGAAAAAATCTTAGTAGGCTTTGCAATCTTTGTCAGAAATATTTTTGACGTTTAAATATCAGTGGTTTTCTTACTTTATTATTGTTTTATTTAAAATTTTGAAACGTCGAGTGAACAAGCGTAAATGCGATAGAACTTTATTCAAAAATTAATTTGAAAAATAATAATAATAGTAAGAAAAACTGACATTTAAACATCAAAAATATTTCTGACAAAGATTGCAAAGCCTACTAAGATTTTTTCATTCAAAGTTCATTCCAACTTTTGATCGACAACCCCGTTGTTAAAACGGGGAGTGTTTGCTTTACTATTTTTTTTCTCAAAAATTAGTCGTTTTTGGAAAAATTTCAGAGAGACAAAAAAGTTTTAGAATACTTTCATCTAACTATGTAAAATTTTTCTAATGTATTTATCATCTGCATAAAAAAAATTTTAGCAAAAATGCAAAGGGGGTGGTTACATTTAATAGTTTAGAAGGGTAGGTTGAAAGTACAAATAGAGTCAAAACGTGCCCTATTATGAGTTAAACATATTCCCCAAATTTCATTTTCCTAGCGTTTATGGTTTTTAACAAAAAAAAGTTAAACCAAAATTTTCCGCCATTTTTGAAGGGGTGCAGCTTCTTAGGGGAGCCGAAGTCGCCCATGGTTCATATATCAAAGTACCCTTAAAATTCACTAAAGAATCACCCCTTGAAGTTTGTTGCAGTCATTTAGATACACTCTGTATATAAGTCGGAAAAACTAATTAATAATCAGTTAACGCTAATTACAAGCTAATTATTAACTAATTGCGTCGCGTCCGGTGTGAGGCGGGAAGAGGTCTTCGTGTTCACCACCACCTTCCATATTCTGCTAAGCTCCCAGCCATCCTCTCTGTTGATGTTATTTTTATGTCGGTGGATCTCTATGGCTTCTCTTGTCAGTCTTTGGTAGTATCTGTTGTCCCTAGCCAGCACCTTTGTTTGTTCGAAGTCTATTCGGTGCCCCTCTGCATGGCAATGTTCCGCAACCGCCGACTGCTGGATCTTCTTCAGCCTTACATCTCTCTCATGCTCCTTGATGCGGCACTCGACGTTGCGTCCAGTTTGGCCAACATAAACCTTCCCACAACTACACGATAGTCGGTAGACTCCCGCTCCTTTTAATGGAATTAGTTCGTCCTTGGCTATCGGGAGTGTGTTCCGAATTTTGCTGACCGTGCCGTACCGCACTACGATATCGTTCTTCTTGACGTGCCTAGCAATTCGTTCCGTTACACCTGAAACATAGGGAAGACAGATAAATTCAAGTGGTTTGTACTTACCGTGTCCTCTTTCTGCTTTCGCCGCTTGATGGCCTGGTTGATGTCCCTCGAAGTGTATCCATTCTTCTGCAGCACGCCTCGTAGAAAGTGTTGCTCCTTCTTCAAGTTCTCTCCTTCACATAGTGTCGCTGCTCGCTGAAATAATGTACGGATCACGGACCTCTTCTGTTGGGGATGATGATGTGAACATGCCTGTAAATACCTGTTGGTATGGGTCTTCTTTCGATATACACCAAGTTCTATATTTCCATTTGTCGTCCTGGTAACCAACACATCTAGGAAAGGTAGTTTTTTGGCAGTTTCTGTTTCCATGGTGAACTTCAATCATAGGATATTGCGAGTTCAAGTGTTCCAAGAACTCTTGGAGCCGTTTTTATCCATGTTGCCATATCACAAACGTGTCATCCACATATCGGAGCCATAGTTTTGGTTTCCACTGGCTCTTCTTCAAAGCGTCCTCTTAGAATAATTCCATCTAAATTAAGCTATTAAGCTAATTTTAGAAATTATATAATATAACTGGCGATAGTGGCGATCCCATGGCTGCCCCTTCGAACTGCTCGTAAAATTCTCCTTTCCAGCTAAAATACGTCAACGATAAGCAATACTCCACCAGATCTGGCACGTATTCTGGTAAACCCTCCGGAATGAGTTTTCGGCGAAGACCCTCTACAGCATCCTTAACTGGTACCCTAGTAAAAAGGGATTCCACATCGAAACTTACCAACATATCTCCAGCATCCAGCTTCACACCTTTTACCGATTCCACAAAATGTGTAGAATCCCTGACATACGATTCCGTGTTACCTGTAAAGGGAGACAGAATCTTTGCAAGATGTTTGGAAAGCTGGTATGTTGGGGAGTTGATGGCGCTGACGATAGGGCGGAGGGGGACGTCTGGTTTGTGAATCTTCGGTAGTTCGTAGATTCTTGGTGGTACCGGCGCCTGCACAAACAAACCTTTCTGCTGTAATTCCTGTGGATTTTATGAGTTTCTTCATTTTTCTTACGATTTTGTCTGTGGGGTCCTTCTTGATCTTCCTGTAGGTGGCTGGGTCCAGTAGGTTCATCATTTTGTCGTCGTATTCTTTCCTGTCCATAACAACGGTGGCATTCCCCTTGTCTGCTGGTAACACGACGATTTCTGAGTTTTCTTTAATAGATCGGAGTGCCTTCTTTTCGCCAACTGTCAAGTTGGATTTTGGTGGTTTTGCTGACTTCAGTACTCTCGCAACTTCTTGTCGGATTTCTTCGGCTTTCAGTGCAGGCATCCCTCGAACAGCTGCTTCCACTTCGCAGATGAATTCCTCCTTTGGGACCTTCTTCGGGGCGATTGCGTAGTTCAATCCTTTGGCGAGCACAAAGGTTTCATCTTTCGTTAGTGGGACATTCGATCTGTTAATGACGATTGTTTCTACTGGTAAACTATTACTTTTCTTCTTTTGTGACCGGCGTTCCAGAGATTCAAACTTCTTGATGTGCGTGTCACGGGTCTTCTGAAATTCGCGATCAGCCTTCTCCATTGTTAGTCTGTCCACTTTGTCCGGAAATACAGTCATCTCCGGATATACAATTGGAAAGTGAGAGATGGAGTCGTAGTAACTTATTTTTTGTAGTCATTCTTCTTTATTCTTCTTTGTAGTCTTGTGGATTCTTTCTCGTAGCAGTGCTTGTTCTGTCCTAATAAAAATTCTACGTATTGCTGCGGAGTCGATGTGGAGCTTCACCTTCAAAAAGGTTGGCGTTACTTTCTTCTCTCTGCATCTTCGTAGAAAGGCCAAACTGCTCAACAGCTTGCGTTGTCTAATTCGTGAGTTATCCAAATCCTTGATTTGTTTGCTGATATCCTCCCCATAAAGGTTAATAATATAAGTACGAAGGCTTTCACGGCCGGTGTGAATTAAACTAAAATTAGAACTAACACTAGAAACTTTCGGGTTTTGCCGTGCGTCTTTTAATAAAAGGTTCAAACCGGCCGTGAACGCCTTCGTACTTATAAAAACTTTTTTATATTTAATTTTATCGAAAAAAGTTAATCTTGATAAAAAATTTTGCTAATTCTTAGAGTAAGATTGGGATAGAAACATTTAACATATTTTATACGCGGTGTTGCCTGCAAGAGGTGGCACTGGTGACTATGATTCGACTGAGAGAAGAAAGGAATTCTAATGGGTGAGATATAGTAAAAATGCCATTCTCTGGAATGAAATGGTGGACTACTCACCAATTCTAGAATGTATAACGGACTTCACACCCCTACAACACATTTTTATGAAGAAATATCTCACCCACCTAAGTACCAGAGAAGTAGAGGTAAAAAACAGCCTTAAAATCTACACTGATAGTTCAAGGAGACAAGAAGGAGCTGGAGCCGGAGTCTTCTCGTACGATCTTCGACTCCACGTATCTGAACNCCTTTTTATTTTTAATTTTATCGAAAAAAGTTAATCTTGATAAAAAATTTTGCTAATTCTTAGAGTAAGATTGGGATAGAAACATTTAACATATTTTATACGCTGTGTTGTCTGCAAGAGGTGGCACTGGTGACTATGATTCGACTGAGAGAAGAAAGGAATTCTAATGGGTGAGATATAGTAAAAATGCCATTCTCTGGAATGAAATGGTGGACTACTCACCAATTCTAGAATGTATAACGGACTTTACACCCCTACAACACATTTTTATGAAGAAATATCTCACCCACCCAAGTACCAGAGAAGTAGAGGTAAAAAACAGCCTTAAAATCTACACTGATGGTTCAAGGAGACAGGAAGGAGCTGGAGCCGGAGTCTTCTCGTACGATCTTCGACTCCACGTATCTGAACGGTGGGTTGTCATCTGACATTGAAGAAGGCCGCAGTGCATAACTGTGTTATACTTCAAGGACACTCCACTTGTTGGGGTAACAAGCACGCTGATAGGCTTGCCAAAAGGGCTGCCAAGCGAGCGCCATGTTCGCCTGAACCGATAATCGCTCCGTCCTTATCAACTCAGATTGAGATAATTAAAGGTTTTACCCACAAAAAGTTTATGAACTGGTGGGATGATGTGGTGAGGCCGCCTCTGAGCGATCTCGACCTTTGATAATACCGCTGCCACCACAAACAGTATTTCGCGCTTCCTAACTCTTAGTCTGATGGACCCCTAATTGATCTTAGCAAATCAATCAAAACTAAATGATAACAGTATATTTATTGCAATACGTGATTTACGTATGATGCGTATTGCACTGTGATGTTGGTTGCATACTTGCAATGATGACGTCGGGTACGACAATTAATTAACACACTGTATGTAGGAAAGGCTTCCGCATACAGCATCTAGGCCCCAACGGGCCCCTTGTAAGTACATCCTCCTGCACTCTCTCCGGCTACATCAACCAGCCTAAGGAATTTCCGAATTTGCAATAAAAATACTTCAATGATTATAAAATTTAAATACAGGAATTTCCTCTTAATTTTTTATTTTTATTGTTAATACATTTGACGTTTCGAACTATTTAATTAGTTTCTTCGAAACTTCAAATGTATTAACGATAAAAATAAAAAATTAAGAGGAAATTCCTGTATTTAAATTTTATAATCATTGAAGAATATACATAAATCCTCTTTAATCATAAAAAAAATTCTAATTACAATAAAAATACTGTTATTGGTTGCATATTTGCAATGATGACGTCGGGTACGATAATTAATTAACACACTGTGCATACATATATGTACATAAATAGCAATTTAAAAATGTTAAAAAGAAAAAATTTTAAAAAGTTCAGGTATAAATAACTCAGAAAGAAATAATTTGATATAAAAAGTTATTATTCATTTTAATATTATTCGTTTTGATATTAAATCGTATTCTCACAAAGATAGAATTTATTTATAGTTCAAACTTTTATGCTTTTATGTTCTTTAATAAGCGCCATCTATTGTTGCAAAAAGGTGTAAATGTATATTCAGCGCTATCTACGGTACGTTTTAGAATTTCACTTGACAACTACAAAAATGGCGAACTCATTAGAAAGTTTAGAGACTCAATTAGAAATGTTTATTGAAAATGTGAGACAAATTCATATAATAGTAAGCGATTTTCAACCACAAAGTCAAAACGTTTTGAATCAAAAATTGTAAGTATTTATTTCGCCTGTCTTTCATACTTAACATTTTACAATTAGACATAACCTCAATATATTCTCTGTACTTAGACAATCTTTGGTTCATGGTTTACAAGAAGTGGACAAATTAAAATCTCAAGTGCAAGATGTTCATGTGCCTTTGGAAGTATTTGAGTAAGTTATATTAGTGATTAATTTTTGAAATATATGCATCCAATGGATATACTTTTATGTTGTTTTTAGTTATATTGATCAAGGAAGGAATCCTCAATTATACACAAAAGATTGTATAGAAAAGGCTTTGGCTAAAAATGAGCAGGTTAAAGGAAAAATCGACGCATATAGAAAATTTAAGGTTAACATGCTATTAGAGTTAAGTAAAACATTTCCCACTGAATTAAATAAATATAGAGCTTTAAGGGGTGATGAATGACAGTTACAATATTTTAATTAAGCTCACTTATTAACAGGATGTACTTTTGTAACTTTACATACCCATATTTTCATTCTGTTCTTAATTCTAAACAAAATATAAAAAACAAAGGTTCTCTTCAAAACTTTCTTGGCAAAAAGGGCGCTATTTAAATCAATTAATAACCATTGTTTATAAAGCATCATAACTAGCTTCTCTCAGGGTATTTTTAAATCCTTGATTTTAATTAAAAATTATTAAATGATTAAAAATTCTGAAGGAATATTGCGACTAATAATAAAATTTTTACATAGAGTATCCAATTAAAATTAAGGATCCTAGAGTAGTGTGGCCTAAAATTAATCATAAGGTGCCAATCCTGTATAAAAAAAGATGGCAACAATAAGGATTACATTTTTGTGATGCTGTTTTTTTCTGATATCATTAGGTAAATGAATGATGAATTATAATACTTTATAAACAATGTAATTACTTTTATAGGAATAAGTGTACATAGTTTAAATTTTTAAATTATCTTATTACTAATCTTTTTGGAGAATTGGAGTTGCAATAAACATGTTATCATTCCAATTAAGCTTTGAAGAGAAATAAAGTTGTTTAAGTTATATAGTTTTAATGAAGTTGTGAACGTAGATATCTAAATCAACTGTGGTAATTATAAGAAACATTATGTATAATGACCCTGCGAATTCCCTAACTCAAATTATTATGATTTTTAACAATTTGTCTTATTCTTAATTCCTTAATTTTATAATTAAACAGAGGCAAGATATGGAACAGTATTTAATAACAACAACTCTATATGATAGATCGAAACTAAAACTATCTTAAATAAAGATCATTTATCAATTTTTAACAATTTGTCAATATTCCCAGATTAACCGCGGTTATTAAAGAAAAATAAAATACTGTATTTTTTCGAATCTAATCCGTACTTTTTTTTTTCTTTTATGTGCTCTAAAACGTGCGAATTGAAATTTAGAATAAGTAAAATAAAATACCTAAAGCAATAAAACTTTATTAATGGTATTAGAACGATATTTACATTTTTATGCATCATTTTCTTCCTATATTACACCATGTTTGGATCCGTCCAATGCATTAGGGGGGCAATAGGGTGGGCCAAAAATTAAAAAAGAAAAAGTTTAAAAGCCGTAATACCGCGGAAGAATTGGTGAGGCTAAGAAAGGGCAAAAAAAAAACATAAAATCATATTTTTACGCTTATTTTTTAAATTAGCCCCTTGCCTAAAGTACTAGCGTAAATTCTTTTGTTTCAGAACCAAAAAAGATAATATTCAAATATATCCTAAATGCATCATCTTCCGGTCGCGCATCACCTTCAAAATTAATGACAATTTGAAAAAGAACAATTACAAATACAGGTTTGAATTTCAAGGTGAAGAAAATACAAAATCTTCAATCCTTGTTCTCTATTGAATACAATGTAAATGTTTCAAATCAAAATATTTAGACGTTTAGTAAAGTTTATAAAAAATAGGTATTTGAAAAGAAAAAACAAGTTTTGTGTGAAAAGTCGTAAATTAGAGAAAGTCATGTTGAAAAATTGACTATCTTCATTTTTACTCAGTCTCAGCTGTTGGTATTTTGAAATCTAATTCCTGGTCAAAGTTAGGCATGCTTAATCTTGACAGAAGAGCCGTTATGATGACATGATCAATACTAGTAGCTCCGCAAAGTTCCCCTGAGGCTTCTGTAACGAGTTTCACACATCGTTCAATAGCTTGTGTGAACTGGAAATTGTATATTACATCACAATTAGGGATAGAATCACTTTCAATGTGTGATTCAGTCTCATCATCAATGATATCTCTTAATAGAGGAGGTGTAGATAAATCATTGTACATTCAGTTAATTATTTCCGTTTTGAACCTCGAAATGAGCTTTTATCGGCATGAATGTTCTGACAATTTTTCTCATTTTATCTAACCGCCTCCTTTTTAGAATCCGTCTAAACCCGGCCTCTTTATATTTTGTACTATCTTGTGTCATGGCTAATATTAAACGTTCTGGGTGAGCAAAAAAGCAATTTATTTCGATTACAGAGTCAACAATATTACGTAAATCATCAGTCAGATATCTTGGCAGTTGTATTGATTGGAACACAAATTTTGGCGAAGTTGTTATGTATACAAAAAGAATTGGTAACGTCTTTTTAAGAAATTAAACTATTTATTTATTTTTAAGATTCTACCCTGGTAACAAAAGTAATAAATATAATAATTCATGACTAACTATGCACATTCAACTAATAAACAACATATTTTTCCCCTTTTTAATTTATCCCTTTTTTTATCATTTTTTTTATTCCCATCAGGTAATCGTCATAAGGTTTAACAACTGTTTTTCTTAAACGTTGTGAGCGACATATTTTACATGGCGATGGATTTGATCTTCGTGATTTTCAGAATTTTCTTTTTGCTTATTTTCTAAAAGTTCCTCGTTAATTGAAATTTCATTTGCTGGAGCTTGCTGAGGACAATTGATTGGATCTTATGATACATTTTCATATGTTTGAATTATTTCAGGTATTAATTTAGGCAATTGATGCGTTATTTCCAAATTTGTTTTTAATTTTTCCATGTAACCACTTATTTTTATTATTAAATATTCTTATACAAACATTATCGCCAATATAAAAATTTCTAACATTACCTCTCCCTGCTTGTTTATTTTGTTGTGTAAACTTGATCTTGAGGTACATTCCTTGTATTATCAAAAGGAAAACGAACACGATGACCTAGAAGTAATGTTGCTGGAGAAAATCCAGTTGTAACATGACTTGTATTCCGATAAGATAGTAAAAACCGACTTAGTCGATACATCATTTGTTGTAATGATAGTTTTTTTTTCCTATCGTGCTTTTGAAAGTGCGTACAAAACCTTCAACTTCACCATTTGATCTTGGATCATATGGCGAAGTTCGAATGTGTTGAATTTGGAATCTTTTACAAAAATTTCTAAATTGTACGCTTATGAATTGTGGTCCATTGTCAGAAACTATTTGTTTTGGAATTCCGAACCGAGCAATTAATTTTTACAAGACAATAAAGGTGGATTCTGAAATTGAATTTTGTAGTTTTATCACTTCAGGCCATTTTGTCCTTACATCGATCACAATTAACCACATGTATCCATGAAAAAGACCAGCGTAATCAATATGTTATCGAAACCAAGGTTTTTCTGGGAACTCCCAAGGATGTATAGGTGCCTCTGGTAGGTTAGGGCGCATGTTTTGACAATGTAAACAAGTCTTAACTTTTTTTTCTACATCTGTATCCAATTTAGGCCACCAAACAAAAGAACGAGTTAGATTCTTCATACGAACAATTTCAGGGTGGCCTTGATGTAATTCATTTAAACATTTTTTACGTAATGTTACAGGAATAATTAACTTAGTTCCCCAAAAAAGGAAACTACTATCAGTTAATATAATAATTCATCTCTACGTAAATAATATGATTGAATTTCGGAATACTGGAGAAGAATGATTTGGCCATAAGTCATGTTCTAAACGTCGAATAACTTTTTGAAGTATTTAATGAATTGAATAAAATGATTTTTTTAGCTTTTCTAATCTCTTGTAATAAAATTTTGTTAGAAATATTGGTAGGAGTCAGCTCTTCTTCATTTGAAAGAAAAACATCAACCATATTCTCATTCGACGATGTTATTAAAGGTAATCTTGAGAGAGCATCAGCATTGCTGTGATCAGAAAAATAATTGAATAAGCTTCTTTTTTAATCTGTGAATATTTCCGTTGAGTTGCACATAACGTTGAAGAAGCATACGATATAGGTTTTTCTGAACCATCTGGAAAAATGTGAAAAAGCTACTGCTAATATAAATATAATAATTCATGACTAACTATGCACATTCAACTAATAAACAATATAACAGTTGCGAAGCATTTATTTGTTTTAATGTTAAATCATATTGGTTATGCAAGTCTGAGAATTTTCCAGATTCAACAGCTGTTGCGCGAGCGCAAGACATCGATTATAAACCATTTTTTCATGAATGACTATCAGTTTTAGGAGAGTTATTAAGTTTAAATATTAATAAGCTGAGTTATATAAATAGTTATTTTAAAAATGTGATTTTTATAAGCTTTGGCATACTTTAGAGCACATGCGCCCAGCTTTCCAGTTCCCAATTTTGAATTTTTTCGGTACACCCATGCCGCCGACACCCACAGTTCAAGTTCAGAAGCAGAAATCCGTTTACTTTTTCCCGTTTTGGTTAATTCTCGAACAGAAACTGCAATCTATTTTAAATATTGTTGTCTTATGTTACCTCGAAAGAGTTTATTAATAGGTTGTAGTATACTACAATGGCATCCATATATGGATGCCGTTCCACCAGGTATTACGATAAGTTCCGTGCAATAATTCTTTAAGGCGATATTTAATAATCCTCCTGGCCTATGACTCCATAACCATTCCAACATCAGCTCTTTCGCCATCAATCTTTTTTGTTAAGACGAAAGACGTCTTTCGGGAAGGATTCCGATTTTGGAATGGTTTTTCTTTTCAATGTTAATAATGGCGACAATTATTCCCCATCCCCACTTGCTACTAGCACCACTGTTACGCGCAATTTTACACAACCACTCGTTTTTAAAGAGGTACCTCTTCTTTCTAGTGTGTAATTGGGAACATATCTAGACATATTGCCGTTTCATTGGCTTTCGTAATTTGGGACAAATAGAAATTTTCCTTTTTCTTCAAATTTATAATATACCGCTGAAATTTTAAAAACTTTTCTTGACAATAATTAGGAAACTTTTGGCAAATTGTAGTTCTGCGTCTCAACGATATCGGCGCATAAACCGTACAGTCCAACCTTTGCTAGCTTTAAAGATTTTTTGTTCAACATTAAATGAATTTACTATATTTTATTGTTTTGTCACGAAGTAAATCGTAGGTTACATACAGTCGCGAATCCTTTCGTCTTTCTTGAAAGAACCGGAAATCTGCCTCTTCAATTTTATGAAATTGTCCCTTCTTTCACAGTCTGCATTAGCTGCCTTGTGTTTGCGCCACAGCCGAACGTTACTCTCATCAACGTCAAAAATTGTACCAACTTTTCGATTTCCTTCTTTTACTTAATAGCCTACTTAATAATATCTCATTTAAACTTCTCTGTATAGGAGAACCGTTTAGATTTTTGCTGCCTTTTTTCCATAATTATGGTGTTATATAATTAAGCACAACACGTTCGAACCACTACGACGGTAATATATAAGCTGAATTCGTGTTAGGCATTACTAATTGTTTTTAAAATAATATTTATTTACAATTGTTTTCTGGCTTGGTAATACCGTCTAATCAGCAATCTTCCTATTTGTAAAAAAGGTCGTAAACAAGGTATCGTTAAGTACATCGGCACTTGTCGGCAAAAAATATTATATTTGAAGTTAACAAGCATCGCGTCGTTTTGGAGCCGTCAAATTGAACAAAGAATGTTGCGAATTACATTTGCAAATTCACTTTTTACTACCATGCATTCTTAAAAGCAGAGTAGGATTCGAGAAAATATACGGTGTTAATTTAAATAAATTGTATTTTTGTTATTGTTAAGAATTGGATTAAGACATATTGGAAATCTCTTACATAATAATTTAACGTAACGAGTATAGGAAATTAATTTATTTTTGCTATAAATTAGGAAAGAAAGGGCCAGATTCATAATGAATTGAATGTTCAAAGTGAGTTTTTGAGTGATTATAAAACTCAACGGAAGATTTTTCTTTATTATACCTAATTTAGATTTAATTATTAATTTTAAGTATGCATTAATAAAATAAATTTGTTAGATGTTATAAATTGTAGGAAATTATTATCAAATAAAATAATTTTGTAATTTTTAAGCTTATTCAAACAGATTTTAAAGTAATGATATATTTTTCTCTTTTGGTATGAAAATGGCACAATATCCTAGTAACAATTTTTCTCATGATGTGTAAGATTTGGTATACGTTTCATTTAGTATCTATTCTTAAACAATTGCGTT